TTTACTTATATATGTTGTATATATTTATATTTAAAGAGGAATATTTATTTGCTTCCAATAAAACGAACAGTCGTACACAAAGACAAGATGCAATTTCCGTTGAGTTGTCCTCGCGGTTATAATGAAGCTTCTGCGAAAGATATCATTGCAAATTGGTTCCCCTTTATTTGGGTTGTCACAGCATGCCTGAGGTATAGGTGCAAACACAAAACGAACTGTATGCAAAACATGTTGCTTCCTGAACAAATCAGAACAAATAAAAACGTCAAGACTGTCTCCTGGGTTGACAGAAAATGTATTAAAATGAGTTCAAGTACTTTTTATGAACTTACATTTCATCACAGTTGCAGTGGTTACATATTACTACTAGAATTTTACAATAAATTTCTAAGAAATGGTAACTTTTGTCTGGTCTTTCGGAAAAACTAGTTTCGAGTGAACACATGAAACGAATTGAGGCAAAAGTGCATGATTCCCTTTGTAATTCAATAATTTCAAAGAGAGTCTGTACCGTCAGTACCCTTACGAAACGAGTGTAAAGTAAGCTTTAAAATAACTTAATACATTATTGATTCTATGTATGAAAATATTGAATGTATGAGTGAATATTGATATACTAACGTTTACAATTTGTTTTTTTATTAATTCATTCTTATATTTAGCTATTCCATGAATATAAAAAAGAATGCTGCTAACGTTAAGCTTTGTAGCCAAAGGTAACGAAAAAAATGGATTTTAAAATAATTAAATAAAATTGAAAATGTACGAAAAGTGTTAAAATGGAAAGCTTATAAATTAAAGTGAAATCATCGATATATTCAATATGTTAACTCATTCAGAAAACTACCAACATTTTTTCATATTTGTCCACATTCCCCTGGCAAATCGTAGAAACAATTTGGAAATATTAAACCCATAAACAAGCTAATGAACACGGTTGGTTTACAGCATCAGCAAATAAATCCTGGCGGTGTGACGTCTTTGTTTATCAAAACCTTTGTTTGAATTATCTTGTTGTAGCAAACAGTTAACTTGTGTTTGTTATAACTTATGTACATATTTATTGAAATAATGTTTAAAGTACAATCCATGACATAAGGGTTCAATAAATCATGGAATTCTAAATATAGTCAAATTAATCATAAAAAAATGTCATCACCTCAAACACCCCAGTAAAGGTACATAATGGTTCTACATTTATAATTATGTACGAAATAATGAGTTTAAATATGATCCGTATTTCGTTAAAACCAAAATGTAAGTTATGAAACCACTTTACAACCCCTACCAAATAAATGGTATAAGTATATGTATGACAATAATTAAAACGAACTGATACTGGTTTACATAAAACTACCAAACCAAAGTAGACTCGTCATATGTACTTACATAATTATATTAGATTACGTTGTATTTCTGGCTCTACAGGAACAGTTGAATAAATAAAGAAGTATTATATTTTTTACAATTATGTTTCTATAAATAGGATATTTATGTGTTATGTTAAATCCTTGCTATAACCTGATAAGTAATGACATAACTTTATCTATTAAACATTTTCAATCGTAATATTCTTAATACATTAGGTTTCCGAATGCAGGTTTTCTGTATTAAAGTTTGTATTGATATTTTGACAGACACGTTTAAGATAAGGCCTATTTTCAGCCAATACAAACGCAAAAGAACCAGTGACTTTGGCAGATTTCTCTGGGGAAAAGAGTGACTCTCAAATACAATACTCAAATACAAATACTCTCAAATAGTATAATACGCCTTATCCTTACTTGTTTGTGGGTGAATTTTGCATAAAAAACTTTATACTATACAATATACTAAATGCTGTACTTTTAAAAGGTCTAGTAGAATATAAGTTATGCAGTTAGTATTTTTTGATAATTTTTAATAGGCATTTTAAAGGAAAACTTATACTATACTGTTGTAGCCCATATAGTATTGCTATAATTTAATATGTTTGTTTTCTTATGTGTCGATATTTTAACTTGAACTATTCTAAGAAAATATTACTTTTCCTCGTAAATACTTGTTTGAAAAAACGATATTTATTTCTTTAGCTCTCTAGTAACTTGTTATATACGATTTTGCTCTATCATTTTAAATTTGAATAATATATTGTTTTAAAGGTTTAAATATGGGTGATTATGATATGCCGATTCAAGCTTTGTAAAGGATTAATAAGTTATCAAACATAAGAGGTTGTCATGCATGATTACCTTTTTATGTCTAGTATACTTACATGTTTTGCCTCAGTGGAAATAGATTTATTGACTAAGGGGGAAATCAATATAAATACCATATTCATTAATATCACTATTGTAAAGGTGTTTATTTGCCAATGCTGTAGAATATTTTATAAGAATAATTCGCATTTTTTGTATAAAAGAGGAGTTGAGAGTGTGGTAGAGACAGTTTCACCAGGTATGTCAGGATTCACAGGTAATAAACCTGACCATATCTCAGGTTTATGACACCTCTGTGCTGTTACTGATTCCTCAGCTGTTTGTATTAGTTTTGTTGGATTTCGCATTGATTAGTTCTGACTTAAATGACGACTACTATTGTAAAACATTGTTTCAGATTAAATCCCTAAGCAATGATCCGTAAATGTTGTTATGTAATCCTTTTTGATTAGTAATTAAAATAACTGCAAGTAAAAGATTTTTCTCATATAATGTGAATTGTTAAAATGCATTTTTATATTTTCAGTTGCAGTATTTTATCAAATAATTTAAAATATCTGGTGATGTTATTTTTTTAATATTATTTGTTTTAATAATTAACTAAAAAGGAAATCTATTTCTGACTGTTGTTATTAATCTGAAATAGTTATAAAACTACACAAAGGATTTTTCTGACTTTTACATTAACTTGAACGCCAATTTTGTAGTTTGAAAGAGTAAAAATAGATTGAATTATGTATTTACATAATAAGATCAAAATACACTATCTCATTAAATCATATTTTAGTATTGTGGTAACTAATGTAATGATGACATTGTGTTTTGCTCATTATTTCATTGTACTAATTAATTACTGACCACCTTATTAAATTAAATTGGCTCTCCTAAATGAAATGGGAGCTCAATGCGATAGTATTGTGAAGCTCGGTGGGAATTTTTAGTTCTTTTATCAAACACATTCTAAATAAAATAAACTATTTCACTATGGGGCGTGCTTACGAGTAATTTTAACTAAACTGCTGAAAACATTCACAAAAATCAATCAGTACGTTGTTCATTTGGGATATATTGCATAGCATTTCTCACATAACCAAAATCCTGTAACATTCTGTCAAACATGTGTACTTCTTAAGACCTTATATAATGTGTGTGAGTGTTTATATAACACGAGTATTAAGATTTATGTTAAAACATATTACTTTAAGTATAGTAAAATGAAGTTGTAAAGTAAAAGTTTTTTTGTTAAAATAGTTGTAATAATTCCAACCAGACTTATATGACAATTTCAGAGCTCAATGTCTTTCACAATATGCAAACGTCCAAACTTTGATTGAGTTGAAATTATTCATGTTACTGTCATAAAACAACATAAATTCTTTATATTCTTCTTTTGGTCGATAGCTCTTTGTTAAACATATTGTTTAATATGTAAAAAATGTCTTACTGTTAAATTCTTTAGATAAATTCATTTGGATTTAATATGAATGTAATGAAAAGTACAAAGTTTTCGCATCGGAATACTTTACATTACGTTTCTTCTTCTTTAAAGATCATGAGTAAGAAGGAGAATCTCATGTTTTATTAATATTCAGATATTCACCGTTGACAAAAATGTATGTGACGTGACTAGCTACTTCCATTACATTTCACATTGACTTTTACAATATGAAATATTTATTTATCAATTTATCTTGTAGAATATGTATACAATTTTATTCTATAAAATCGTTTTCCTAATGCTTCAACCGACACATCTAAAGGGAATGGTTTATTGATGGGAATAGTCATAAATACGCACAAAATATTTCCTTTTTTAATTTATGTTATGGCTTAATTATTTAAATTGAAATAAAATACTTTCTGTTCTCAGATTGAAACACCAAATCCTATTTATATACTTCCTCCCCAGTTATTATTAAGGATTAGTATTAATTTAGTTTTTTTCAGAGAATTCAAAAAATATATTACTGTGTTTCAGATTACTTGAGTAAAGCATAAATGATTAAAACATGTTATCAATTGTATGGATTTATGTAAGTGAGAATATCAAATGAATCTATTATTTATTTAAACAATGTGATTTAGGTTTCGAGTACATTATTCATCATTTTAATATTACTAGGGATCAGTGCAGACAAGCTAAGATAAAAAAATATGTGGTTTGTCTTTTAAATGGAAATTTGTAAATGATTATTGTTATCAAAACTTGTGAAACTGATTTTTATGTTTTAAATTGATATGAAGTTTCATATTTACAAAAAAAATGTTATTGTCAACATAATTATGAGGCAGTTTCAAAGCTAAAAACATCGGTACTGTATGTAAACAGTTTCTAAAGCAAAATAACAGGAAGACATAAGTCAGCATTTGTCATTGCTACTTCCGCAGCAGATTTTCATTTGTTGAGAAAATATGTATTGCAACAATTATTTGTGTTTCCCTCATTGTATTTTCTCCTTATTTTATTTTAAATTTAAACTCGATTTTCTAGCCCTTCTACGGGTGCTATTCTTTTACCTCACTATAAAGTTTTGTCATACATAATAACAACCATAAAACCTTACACAATGTTTTTTAGTAAACTAAATAATTAATTGTTACCCAGCAAAGACTGGACATGATGTGACAGTGAATTTCAAATTTCCCGCGAGATAAGTAAATCACAGATATGTCGTGGAGTACGTCAGGCGCCACCGTCATTTAGCTACCCCTCCACCATGACCTTGAGAGGGAAGGAGCTCTAGGAGGTGACCAGTAGACATTCAGTGCCGTACCGTCTAGGGATCAAGTGTAAGTTTTCGTTGATGGCGGAAGTGAATGTAGAGTCGCTGACTGCCGACGGGGACATATGTCTATATGGGTAAGTGTTCCTCCAAAAGTCTTAAGTTTTAATTCTTTGACAAACTCAGATTTTAATGTCAATTTTCTCCAAGTTGTCCCGATTTTAGTTTTCCAGTATCGAGTCCATAAAGGATTTAACGTTCTAACCCTCGGTTAGAGGCAAATGTCTCACCTCGAGACTCTAGACTCTTTTAGAAGTTTTATATCTTATAATCGAGCGGAGGCATCTGTCTCGTCGGTTCGATTATAAAAAGGCCCCTAAATTTCAAGTAAGAAGTCATTTTGATTTAGTTTTTGTGAAATGAAAAGTCAGTGAAATTTTATTTCAGAGTATTCCATTTTGTTTTTCCGTAGGATAAGCGAGGATAAAGTTTAATTTTATTTTCAGAGAGTGTTATTCTAACCTGTATCCATTAATTTGAAGTCCCCTGTAGAATTGCTATTCAATATTAGTAGTACACTAAAAACCAGAAGAAGTGTGTAATTTATTAAGTTGCAGGTTGTGTTCCGGTGTGGGGTAATTATCTCGCATGGCGACACGTTTATAGAGAGTGTCAGGTTGTCGTTTATTCTCTAATTTAAAGCCCCTTTTGATTTTGATCTTATTTGTGTATTTTATAGGCCCACGAAGAGTTTATATGAAGTGTTGTTTTACGTATAATATTCCATGTGGGGTATATATCTCGATAAGGAATATTACCGTGTTTGAGATTAATCTGGTTTAACGCAGTCAGTTTATTAGGCGTTTAGTCGTAAGATTGAGCTAATTTTCCTCAATATTTTGTCTCCAAAGTGCGGTGACCTTTTGGATATTTCTTACGTATTAATCCGCGTGAGGCATATGTCTCGCGCGTCGGTAGTTTATTCAAATTAATTACACCCGCCTTCTGATTAATTGACGTGCCAAGTCGTATGGGGCATTTGTCTCGTACGACACAATTTGTAAATATAAGTTTTATAAAGTATCGGGAGGGGCATCTGTCTCTTCACGAAATCTAATTTATCATTCACCTTGTAAATGTGACGATTCAGTGTGTATCGGTTACCTTGAGATACCGTTTTACATATAATAAAGTGTTACGATTCACCCTGAGGCGTGAAGTGTGCAGTGTAGGTTTGATGCGAGAGAGGAGCACTTTCCAACAAACTATATATATCGTTCTGATTGAATACCTATAGTTGAAAACACCTCTCAATGTATATATATTTCCGTAGATGTAATGATAATGTAATAAATATCGATTGTTTGCTAGATGTGGTTACAATTTTCATCTCCTGAGATATTTCCTTACCTCCTGACAAATTTAGTGTTACCATTAGGGTCGAACCTTCTCTGTGGGTTTATCCGAGCAAAATAAAATTTATTTTGTATTGTGGGAATATTTTGACATATTAATAACGTATTTCTATTATGTTATTCCCCTTACAATGAAAAGATATTTGGATTGTCTACGTAAATATTTCATTAAGAATGTGTTAAATCGTGATTGAAACCTATTATAGTGGTTGCAATAATATTTGTATGGATAACTAAATTTAATTTACGTAGGTCATTATTTGCCTTAGATCAGCAATCTCTTTTTTCCATCCTTGAACTAAAACAAGTTATTTTACCAAAAATAATTAAATTCTGGAACAGATAAAACATCGTGGGCTATTTAAAATTTATTTATACAGTGTTGACAAGTAATATAACTCGGAATATTGTAAATCATGTACACGAGCTGTGTGAAATAAACCATAGTGGTTCTTGTATTATAATAATACTCATACAATGATATTTATGTGTACCATATTTACGATAATTGGTCCCCTCCGTATAGTTCCATTCCCTCAAACTTGCCTGATTACCCTTCATTCATACAAAAACTATATTTTATTTATAAATATTCCACTTAATATTCCTATCTTATTCTTTCCAATACAAAATAATCCACTGAGCCTACGCACAGGTTTCCAGCCTATATAGACTTATTTCCCAATGTTTTATATTGAAAATTTCTTTCTGTGAATCATTTATATTTATAAGTGCACTTTTAACTTTTTTGCATTATTAAGTAAGTTTCTTTGTATTTCTTTTCCTCTATAAGTGGATGCTCGCGATTTTTATTGTATTACTTTTTGTTGGAAATCAACTTAATTCGATTTGATTTTGATTTTAAATCTTCCAACACTACCCGCTATAACCGGGGGATTAAAGTCCGGCTATAACCCGGACTGAATCTACAAACGATCATCAACAAAATGATTGTACAAAACATTTTCATCAACAACTACAAAGACAGGTATTTGATGTTGAATTTTACACCTATCATATCATATCGTTTATTTTTTCTTTTGCTCATTTGATTAGAAACATAATTTTTCGTCAACGATTCAGTATAACAGTAGAGTTAGGTAGAGTATCAGTTTATTTTAGAGTATTTTGTTTTATATTTTCTTTTGCGAAGTTTGTTATGACAGCTAACGCAGCTAATCTGATAATTATTACCTTGACCTAAATGTTTTCTGTAAAAAGAGCTTCCACATATCATTAATTCAACCGTTTACGCAATAAATTATGAATAGGAATTAGGAATCATACATAAATAATGGTCTAGAAATAAATTGTAAAAGCTTGATTAAAAAAGATTATCCAAACAAATTCGTTACACAACTGGTTTATCCGCTAATATTGTGGATCCGACACAGTTGATTAGATTGTTTATGGTTGGACAGTTTTCATAACCTTCGTTATTTCCTTCTCTGTATTTTACTGTTTACAATGTAAAATATAATACTCCTTTAGGCTATTATTTATTTACCCTTCTTGTCGAGCTCTAAAAAATATACTCTTCTTCGTATGTTTTATTAAAGTTTTCTGTTTTTTTGTTTTGTCAATATAAACAGATTCAAATGGATTAGCTTTATCAATTATTTTATTTTGATTATACATTTATATTGTTTTCAGAATAATATTCGATGTACTGAATTCAAGGTTACATGTAAATATAGGTTCACTAGGGAGAACAAAGAAATACTCACTAACATTTAACAAGAAAATAATTTTTCTCTGCTAATTTAATTAATCAAAAACACGTCTATGTTTCCAAAAGAAAAAAAAAACATGTTCATGAGTTACCTAAGTTACTAATATAAAAAGTTGTCTAATTTGTAATTTTAAAATACGGTGGGTTATTTTATGAAATGTATAAATATTTGTTTTAATATAAATATAGGATTTAGAGTAGAGTCCTGTTATAAAACTCCATAGTTATTATTTACAAAACTAATAGTATTGTGAATAAACACACGTTTTCGGTTTCATTGCCGCATGGAATATGTAAGCAAGTGGGGATTTTGCACACCATTTAACATGAGATAAGCTGGCCCGAGATTGAATTAGGTACACCTTTTCTCAGTGCAGGTTTTTCCAACATTTGTTGATTCTAATAAGCAAGATTATTAACACTAGCTTTAGCGTTATAAAATCGATTGTAGTATGGTGTTAATATAATGTGATATTTTCAAAAACCAAAGTTTATACTTAAATAAATAATAAATATGCTTGATTTTCATGTGACTTTTAATGATCCAAATGCTTTATCAACCGATAACTTATTAACGCATTTTTATTATACATTTTATTCTCAGAAAGTTTAGTGCGATAGGTCAATAACACTATGTGGAATGCCACCGTGAAAAAACTATTTGTAACACACGTTACACTATTCATCTAACAAAATCTTTTCACATATGTATGATAATGAATTGACTCAATTCCGCATCTGGTATTACACACATTCAAGGTACGTTTGGGCTTGAATGCCGATGAATTCCAGTATGGTCGACCACACGATATATTTCATATTCCAAGTTCCACACATTATTTCGTTCCACGAGATATAACTTCCTTCAAAATACCACTCGCTAGAGTAAATCTATCAGCTGATATATTGTGAATCTATTTACCTATGGATGGCAAGACAAAAGTATTGTGATTGTGCAGTGGTAAACAAGAACAAAAAAACAATCTATAGTTTTCGGTTAGGTTAGTTTAGGTAGTGGTAGGTAATAGTATAAGCCATACACTAAAACAAACTTCTTCATTGACCACTGTTAAAGTTTATAAGTTTGAAAATCGGGATTGACAACAGGTCATTTCTTAGAATTGGAATTGTACAAACTAGATTTGTTTGCCTTAGTGAAACCTTGTAGGGCAATGTGGAGGAATTGAAATTATTAACAATAAATTCATCCCAATAAACATTTTTTTGTGTCAATCTATAAGTTCTACTATCACATAACAGCATACTTGTTTATTATGTCTATATTTCTTTTCTTCAACTTTGTGAGTGCTTAATAAAACCTCGTCAGCAACATTGTGAAGTGGTTTATAGAAAATCATTGCTATCGGGCGCACTTCACATCAAGGTCCGCCAACTAAATACAAAATAGAACGAACAAAGTGGGTATTGAAAAGGATATAAAGTGATTTTGCTATAGAATGTGAGACTAAACTGTTATGGGAACAATAAACTCATACACACCATTACATCATTTTAAAGCGCAACATAAACTCTAGAACTAGGTTAATGTTTGACGTTTAAGTCTATCTCTAAAATGATATTGATCGCTATGTCACAATTGCTATAATGACAGTGTAGCCAATACTTATTTTGAAAAAAAACCGCGTATAAGTCTGAATTTTTAAAACACCTGCATATTGATTTTTAAGTCAAACTTAAGGCAACCACTCAATTATGTTCCTTTTTTGTAGTTTTGAATGAAGAACGCGATACCATTGACTATATATACCTATAGGTATATATAGTCCTGTATGTATATGTAGTCAATGGCGATACCAAATTACCTGTGTATGGTATGATTACAATGAAAAAAAAATCGAATTATTACTTCTCTAGAAAAGGTAAATATCCATATTGATGTTCTTTACGAATTTCAGTCATAAAAACCAAGCACAAAAACACAAGCCGCAGACAATTGGTGAAATAAACACTAAGACGTGACATTAAATTT